TTAAACACAGGGAGAATCAGGCTTAGGGGGAACACATAAAACCAAGATTAAAATTGCTTTCCATTAGCCAGGTGTGGTGATGCATGCCTTTAATCCTAGCATTCGTGAGACACAGGCAGGCAGACCTCTGAGTTTGAAGCCAGCCTATTCTACATAGCAAGTGCCAGGCCAGTCAGGACTACATAGAGAGACCTTGTCTCAGAAAACAGCAAAAAGTTTCTAGTCAGCCAAGCCTTAGTGGTGAGACCCTGTCTCAAAAGAAAAAAAAAAAAGGAAAACAAAAAAGATGCAAGTCCTTCTTGCAAGTGAAAGAACTGTACAGTTGTTTCAAATAAATACAAAATTAGGAAAATACTCTAGTTAAAACAGTTAACTCAGTGGACCTACTAAAGATGGAAAATTATATAATCTTAGAAATGCACTAAGCCTAATTAATTAATTTAATTAAAATTAATAATTAAGAATATAGCAGAAATTAAATGGATCATATTGTCCTACAAAGATAAGCAAGCTTTAGAAGTAAACTAGCAAACGACATGATAAGTGCACCGATTTAGGACTATAGTAAGTAAAAGCAAAGACATTCCTAAAGTTCACAGTGCATCACATTGACAGTTTCTTCACCCTGACAGTGTATTAACATCTGTTCAAAGCCAAGTTTTGCTCTATATAGAACACATTAGTACATGTTATTTCATAGTTACAGTAAAACTGAGATTCAAATATGTTTTATATCAATGATGCTACATAGATACTCCATTCAAGTCTTTCTCATTGGAAAGCAGTAGGAAGGTATGCCTTCACAGTTTGACAGCTGAATAACATAGCTAACATTTACAGGAAACATAATCATGCACCAGTAATGCTAAACATTTTACGTGTACTATCTTCCCCAAACCTTGGCCTATGCTAGGACATAGGTGCTTTTTATACCTGGTAAAGCTGAGACCAAGACAGTAGTAATCTACACAAGGCCTTAGCTGGTAAGTACCTGGGCACAGGCTTAGTCGAGAGATGCTAGGTGAATGAGAATGGAAGAAGTGGAGGAATGGCATGAAATCAAACCCCTGAAGAGCAGAGAAAGTGGCAATGGGAGAGACCATGTTCTTGCACACAGTGGAAGAAAACGAATCACAGAGGCCAGAAAACACTTTTTCCAAGAAAAAATAACTGTTGATTGAGAATAACAAGCATTTGGACATGGGCAAAACAATTGTGGGCATTAAGAAGCCAGATAGTGGGAGGAAACTAAAGACTTGGTTCAAGAGAAACCAGACTACAAGGAGGTAGCCTTGTAATGCCTCTGAGGTTTGGGGGACTCCGCCTAATTTGTTTTCGTAATGGCTGTTTCCCTTCTACCTTCCCCAGAGGCCAGCATCTGTGTGCAAGGGTTGTTCTTGTTTATGACTGAGCATTCAAATTCTAGGCTGTTATTTTATATTTTTATGTTTTATTACATATATATAAAACATGTATATGTGTGTGTTCCTAATACATTTAATATATATATTACATATATAGTTCATGTTGGGGTAACCCCCAACCTTAGAATTATTTTATTGCTGCTTTGTAACTAATTTTGCTCCTGTTAGGAATCATGAATATCTGATATGTAGGGTATTAGGCAGTTCCTGTGAAAGGGTCCTTTGATCTCCCACTCCCACCCCAAGGGGTTGCAACCCACAGATTGAGAACCGATGTTGTAGGCACTTGTGTATTCTATTCAGGTTTGTATCATCTGATGCAGAAGTTACCTAACCTGGAAAATACTTTTTATTAATCAACTTCAATAGGTGAGCATCTTGTAAATATGTAAGTGCAGGTTCCAGGTCTACTGCAGGGATGATGATCCTTAGACTTGGTGCTCAGCTTCACTGGACCCAGAATCACTAGGTCCTTGGGCACACATGTGAGAGATTATCTAGATTAAGATTAGTCGCTGTGAATGTCTGTGGAGATCCATCTTAATTTGGACTGCACCAACCCCTGGGCAGGAGTCCCAGGACTGTTACATGGCAAGACAGACCTAAGTACTAGCATTCATCACTCTGCTTCCTACTGTGGATGGAATGTGACCAGCTGATTCAAGTTCCTGCTGCCATGACTCCAGCTACAGTGGACTATACCCTTGAATTGTGAGCCAAAATAAATCCTTTCTTTCTTACATTGCTTTTGTGAGGGTATTTTATTATAGAAACAAAAAAGACAGACCTTGGCTGTAGTTAGCACTATTAATTACTAATGTAGGTCATGAAAACTCTGTATTTGAGCCTGTGATTGTGTAGTATATCTGATTGAGAATATTACACTTTTGTGAGAAATGCCATATTGTTGTAAGCTTTTTCGTAAGCATTAAATCTGAAGGCAGTTATGAATTGCAGAGACTTTTCAGGCGGATATAACTGAGTGGTGGGGTGCATGCTTAGCAAATGTGGTGCCCCGGGTTTAGCTGCAGGCAGGAAGGAAGGCGGGAACTAGAGAGCACTTTTCAAATGTGGGTGTGCATCTTTCAATCAGCCTGGTAGAGTGCTGCCTTACAGTAAAGTTTTAGTTCTTTATCTCTGACCCGTTGCTCTAGTTCTTATCTTCTCAGTGTTGAGAAAGAATGCTGCGATACGTGTGATCTATGCAAATACTTTACAGCTTGTAGAAAAACATCAAAATATCTTTGAATGTCGTTTGAGATTTGTATATCTTGAAACTGATCTGCTTTACAGAACAGGTGGTCACACCTCAAAAGGGGGTGGGGACTAGAGTGGATAATTAGGAAAATTCAGACTATATAACTGTATATATTGTGTATATATGTATATATACATATATATGCAAATATGTTCAGGAAACCACTGAAATTGCAGTTAGTTAGACTTTATTTATTTTGAAGACAAGCTGTGATGTAGCCCATGTTGGTCTAGAACTGGCCTCCAACTTGCTATGTAGCCAAGAGTGGCCTTGGATCTATTCTGCATCCCAAGTGCTAGGATTTCCAGTGTGTACACCACACTAGGTTAATACAGTGCTGCAACCAAGGCCTTGTGCATGCTAGACAAGCACTCTTCAACTGAACTATATCCTCGTGCCTGAGACTTTTGAAAATGGACCTCCGAGCTGGGCATGGTGGTACATACCTTTAATCCCAGCACTGGGGAGGCATCCTAGTCTAAATGGGGAGTTTAGCCAGGGCCGCACACTAAGACCCTTTCTGGAAATACGTCCATAATGGAGCCAGGGTGTAGACCCTTATTAAAGAATATTTTGTCTCTGCCATTTATGTTTTACCCTTTCTTTGATGAAAAATAAATATGATTCAGGCACTTATATGCCCAGAAGGTGCCTTTGGCTTCCTACTGTTTGAGTCTGGTCTGGAGTTGTACATGTTATAGACAGACTTTCCTAATAAAACCAGTTCCCTAATGTGCCTGCTCTCCTGTAGAATGCCAGCGATCTACTTTTGATAGGTAATTGAGCACAGCCCGTGGCTGCTGTCTGCCATTGAAAGCTTATAGCATTATGCAGCACTTAACCGAACCGTGAGTATGTCTGGGAGAGATCGGCACCCACATATACCTTAATGGAAAAAATGACCAGACCTTTGGCTGAAGGAACATAGTGACTGGCTCAGCCCGTGCTCACAATAAGGTCCTAACACTGACAAAAAAAAAAAAAAAAAGAAAAAAAAAAGAAAAAACCTACGTGATAGAAACACAAAACTGGAGTAAGACAGAATTCTTCAGCTGGCAGAGGATACATATTTATACATTCTTCTGTGCCAAGCTCAGTGGTTAGAGAATGTTTCTTGGCAAGACTGCACTACACAAATGTTTTCCATTTGAGCTAGTGTAATTTTCATCTAATTGGTATTCAGGATAAAGTTCATTGCCCTGGGGAATGGCTTGCCTCAAGTTTTTAAGATGTAGACTAATGAAGTTCAGGTTTGGGACCAGGGACAATCATCTGGACTTGTAGTTGTTTTCTATGAATGTCATAATAGCTGTGTAATATCACTCTGGAGAGTCATTCTTGCACAGGCAATTCAGTGCTTGCTGATGTTCAAATTTAAGCTTGGGAAATGACTTGATTTTGATTAAGGGGAGCCTTTTGAGCACAGTAATAAGCTAGAGCAATGATTGAGGGGATTTAAAATAAGACTTGCCAGGTATAGTGGTACACATCTTTAATCCCAGCACTCTGGAGGCAAAGACAAGCAGATCTCTTGGAGTTTGTGGACAGCCTGGTCTACATATTTCCATGATAGCCATTGCTAAATAGACCCTGCCTCAAAAGACCACACACACAAAATTCTTAGCTGGGAGTGGAGTTCAATGATAGAGCGTATGCTTAGCAAGAGGGAAGGAGGCACTAGATTCAATATACCCCAAAAGCCTTCAGTACCCTGTAAGGATAAGTTTTGGTTAAGTATGTTTTGTTTCTTCTCTCTACTATTTGAACAGAATATTTCAGAGAAAAGTCATTGCTCATATCAGTATATTCTGACATGTCTGGCAGTGGCCAGCACCACCCCTCAAAGTCACAGAGGCAGAGTAGCTAGGGTAGATTTGTTCAGTGTTGATGGCAGGGAAGGGAGCTACTGTAGGCACAGTTGCCCCCTGCTCAGCACTGTGAAATCTGAAGTGTGCTCCACCCTGCCCACCTGTAGCAGTGCTTACAGGCTTGGTTCTGACTAGGCACTGTTGTTTAGCTTCACAGGTGCCTTGCCTAGGTGCTCAAGAGTCTGACACAATTGTGTTCGACCCATAGGAAAAAAAAAAAAAGTATGGATGTTATTTGTTCATCTCTTCAGTCATGGACTGTAATCATTTTGGAGTAGGAAAACCTCCATTTCTGCATCTGTCCCAACCATGCCATTCATGGCCAGTGAGGCCCTGTACAGCCTGTGCTAGCCTCAGTTTCCTCTGAGAGTTAAACAAGGTGGCCCAGATGATCTCCAAGGGCCTTTTCTGGCCTTCTGATCATGAAGGTCCTTTTTTTTTTTTTTTTTTTTTTTTTTTTAATGCATAGGCAGCTGGGGCGTTGTTATATAGGTCAAGTATGACTTGTTAGGACTGTTAGCTGATCTTCTTATGTCCCACCAGACAGATGCAACAGTAATGCCACGGTCCTTTAGGAAATTTGTGCTGGGTTTGCCAAAGCCATCAGTGAAACTCTTGAATGATGAAGCACTCCTGAGTGCCAAAGTTGTCAGATGGTAGTGCCAATTTGTGGGTGCCCTGTTGGCATGGCTTCTTCCTGTTTGAAATCCTGAGTGACAGCATGAGTCCAGCTTATTACATAGTCATTGCTTCCTCTTAAGTCCTGACTGATCCAGTACCCTGGCATAAGGATCCATGAGGTACCCACAGTTCAAATTTTCTTGAGTTTTGTTTTTTTGTTTGTTTTTTGTTTTTCAAGACAGCATTTCTCTGTGTAGCCCTGGCTGTCCTGGAACTCAAACTCGAACCAAGCTGGCATCGAACTCACAGAGATCCACCTGCATCTGCCTTCTGAGTGCAGGAATTAAAGCTGTGCATCACCACCATTTGGCTCTGAATCTCCTTTTAGAGTTGTGAAAATAGCAGGAAATGACCGGCATCACAGCACTTAATGATGGTGACATTGACTTTTTTAAGTCTTCTGATTCCAGACTTATGTTCCTTTGCCAGTATACTACCTACACATTGATAGGCTTAGTTGATGCACTGTGGTTAAGGTCAGGTGTAGGATAATTCTGGGCAAGGAAACAAGTATTCAAAATGGCAGTTGCACTTACGGGAGGAGGTCCTCTTGTCCCCTCTTATGTGACTATAGCTGAACTGCCACTTATGACAAATCTTGGGCCATCCTGGTCCTGTTACTCATGTTTGATCTTTTGTTTTTGTAGCCAAGGCTGTCCTTAAATTCCTGATCCTCCTGCCTCCATTTCCCAAGTGTTGGAATTTACAGGACTGTGCCATTGTACTTGACCTCATTTTGTTTGATCTTAACTTGGAAACAATCCCTGGGGATAGTTGGAAGATTTGAGTTTCTCTGGGATGTCACTGTCCAGTTTTGAAATAATTTTGTAAATGGGTTTCTTCCAGGAAGGATCTGAGTCTTTCCCTTCGGAGACAGCCCTGAAGAACTCCTGTAATGTCAAGGTGGCAATTTCCAAGAAGCAGTCTGGGACCTGCAACTCCAAAAACAACCCAAAGAAAAGGAAGAAATGAGTCTGGAAGTGCTGGCACCACAGAGAGCCCACTGATGGCTGCTGCCTGCTGCTGGCTCAGAGGATGCCTACTCCACTGGCCCACAGTTTGCAGCCCAGGACTGCTCTGGTCCCTTGTGAAGCACAGACCTTAAGTGACCAACCAGTAGCTGGTTCCACAACTGGATATGTTTTAGTGACTAAGTAGGAAATGAATTATAGGGAAGAAATGAGAGATTTAGCTTTCTTTTCCCTAGACCTGGTATGAGAAAGAGTGTCCTCAAGCTTATGACTGCCATACCTGTAGAGCTCAAATCCTAAAGGCTTAAATCCTTGCTTCCAAAGCCATCTGAAGGGGCTGGTCCAGAAACTTCACTCAAACTGGCCCCATAGGTGATGGCATGGCCCACAGGCCTTCCAGGTGCAGCCTGGGTGGGGAATCGCTGCCACTGCCTACCAAATGGCCATCCCCACATGGAAGGTAGAGAGGTGCTACTGCCCTCACACTGGCTTTAACCCCTTCCTCCCCACAGAAAGGCTTCAGTTTCCAAGCATGCTCTGGCTGTGGAGGCCAGCAGCCTTTACTCTCTTGGAGGAATCAAGTGAGAAAAGAAGAAAGAAATGAACCCTGTGACGACACACACTGGACACCTGAAGAGGAAGATGGCAGCCACCTAAGAGCCTAGCTGCCACTTGACACTCAGGCTCTGAGGCACCAGCATACACCTTCATGGAGGCTCCAAGAGTCTGGATTCTTCAGCCTTGATGCACCAGAAAGAATTTGAATCTACCACACAGATAGAACTAAACAGGTAAAAAAAAAAAAAAAATGAAGGCCGAGTGTTAGGAAGAGCAGAAATTGTCAGAAAAATAGATCCTGTGATGGAGTCCAGCATTTGGTGCTGAGTCACCAGCACGGAGGTAAAAAGGCCAACAGTCTCTATAACAGAGACTTGTGCAGAGTAGGATGTCTCAGCGGTGAAATACTGGCAAACCAGGGTATGATCAGGCTGGCTGTATTTGCTTTGTCCACCTGTTGCCTGGAGAAGATTTGGAGGCTGTAATCTTTGTTGGTGATACAGAGGTTGGCCTCCCCAGAGGAGTTGTTTTTAGAGAACCAGCCATTCTGAGGAAACACATCTCAGTTCTCATGGGACCCGGCACATTGACTTACCTCAAAGTCATTTCCCTTGTTATAGTGTGTATTGAGAACTCGAAAAAGCTCTGAGTCACGGAGAACTGCCAGCATTTGGGGGTTTGTGACACCATCTGAAATTGCTTGCCGGGCATACTTTTCCATTTGGATGTAATAAAATTCACGGAAGTTGCTGAACCACTTGATCATCTGGGAGGTGATGCAACGGTTGAACTGTGAACAGAGGGCTTGTCAGGTCAGACATTTCCATGGATACTCACCGTCATAGCTGTCAGTGTCACTTCAACATGAGATTAATGTGAATTGACCTAACCACTAACCAGTTTTCCTTCAGAAGTGAAGCCACAGGTACTGGCCAAGCCTGTGCAGTTAGACTAAACAATCCAATACTCACTAGAAAATAGTTTTTATGTACTAGACTTTTAGGCTTTTGTCCAATGTCTAAGCATGACTTTGGGTTGGCCCCTAGAGCCAGGAGGGGTCAGGGTGTGGGTCAGGGAGCAGTTTCCTGATAACTGGAGTTGCAGAATGAGTGGAAATCTGAATCAGTGTTTTACTATGGGGATCTGCATGACTTAAAGACCTCAAAGATGCATCTGAGGTTTGTCCAAAGTATTAAGAGCCCCTACGTCACAACTCAGAGTAGTGGCTCTCATAAACTGCCTGTGAGTACATGCAGGGTTTGGTTCCAACATTGAGTTATGGTCACACTAGCTCTGTATATACTTCCACTCAGTTTTGAGACACATTAGTCTCGCTGTAAGTCTGGTGCTGTCTTACTAATATTTTGAATGGGGATCAAATCCATGTCTTATGCACACCAGACACCTCCTGACCACAGAGCTACATCCCTAGCCCCTTACATTTTATGTATTTTCTTACTGGTTACACATTCTGTTTCATCTTTTCTTTTGGTTTTCTGAGACAGGGTTTCTGTCTCTGAGTCTGTTTCCTGACTCTGTGTGGACCAGGCTAGCCTCAAACTCAGAGATCCGTCTGCTTCTGCCTCCCTAGGGCTGGAATTAGAGGCATGCACCACCACCACCTGGCTCACATTCTTTTTATTTTTTTTATTTTTTTTTTCCTAAAAAATAAAAGATTTGGACTAGGCCTATAACATGGTAGTAGAGCTCTTGCCTACCATATCCAAGGCCCCAGATTCAATCCTCGGTTTAAAAAAAAAAAAAGATTTATTTTTATTTATGTATATAAACAAACTTGCATATATGTATTCACATCATATGCGTGTAGTGCCTAGAGAGACCAGAATAGGGCATCAGATCCCAGGACTGGAGTTTAGAGGTGGTTGTGAGCTGCCATGCGGGTGCTGGGAACCAAATCTGGGTCTGCTCCAAGAGCAGCCAGTGCTCTTAACCACTGAGCCATCCCTCCAGCCTCATTCGTTTCTTTTCATAAGGTGCCCACCAAAATAATTGCTAGACCAAGAGTTCACTTACTGTTATCACTTTCCTCCCCTACCTAAACGTCCCATGTACTTCTGGGATTATCTACTGCCCAAAGGCCTAAGCATTGTGAAACCCACCCTTTCCTAATGTAAGGAGAGCCATATTTCTTTTCAGGCATTCTCAGAACAGGAAATTGAACCAGTTCCATCAGTAACATGAAGGGCACATGAAGACCTACGACTTGCCTCCCCCTGGGCAACACACACAGCAACTGGAGAGTCTGCAGAGGCTGAAACACAATGTGTGGCTTTACCTGAACATCAGGGAAATACGCCTTCAGGAGGCTGGAGCTGGGGTAACGCGTGAAGAAGAACATGAGTTTGGCCTTCTTCAAGTGTCCAGGGCTCAGGCCTTCCTGGATGTATTTTGGTGTCAAGGGAAAAGAGCATTTTCAAAACACCAGCTTCGGAAAAAAACAAAAAACAGCTTGCTTTCTGTGCTCACAGCACTTCCACAAATATGGGGAACATTTCTAAAGTTCACCAGACTTTCTGCAAGATGGGCAAGCACCAACTCTACCCAGGGAAAGCAGCCTTTCTGACAGGAAGCAGTGTTTGGGGGCAGGGGCAGCGTAAGTCCTCCCACTGAAACTATCAAGAAGATTGAGACCTGAGTCCTCAACCTAACTGCGGAGCTAAGCCAGTCTGGCCAGTAAGACATGGGAGCAACTTGAACACGGAGACATGGGGGCGAGTGTTCAAGTCTAAGCCAATTTTGTTATTAAGACAATAAAATCATACAGTTATTTTTAAAGTTGTGGTGAGACACACCTGTAACCCCAGTAACTGGGAGGGTGAGGTAGGAGGATCAGAAGTTCAAGGCCATCCAGCCTTGGAATTCATGAGACCCTGTCTCTAAAACAATAGCAATGATGATAATAAAGAACCAGTTTATCAAATAATTTTACCGGATTATCCAAGTAATGATTGCTTGTTCCTTGTGGATTCTGTTTTAGTTTTTCTTTTTTTTCTTGACTGAATGCTGTATTTTTTTCATTCTCTGGAAATTGGTCAGATGAGCTAGAAGCCAGCCACATCATTGCACTGCACAATTTTCATGCATCTTAGTGTGTGAAAATCACATCTCATGGCTTACATGGCACTGATGCAGGTTCCTGTAGCCTAAATGCCTTTTCAGAATGGAGTGGAAGAAGTCAGCTCTGCCACAGATAAACCACTTAGAGACCTCAAGTAGAGACTTTTCTTCCATTCCACCTCAATTTCCTATAAAATACGAGAGGAGTTACCTCTGTGGTCTCCATTCTGGCCTTGGCAAGTGTGAGCCAAAAGACATGTAGCCAGGCAGGTATTGGATCCCATCATGCTCCTGCTTTCTTGAGAAGTCTGTGTCCTGGACTACATCTGTGCCACACCTGGCACGTGGCAGAACTTTCCCTCACCTGCTGAGCCACAACTCCAAAGCTGCATTCCTTGTGGTACCTACCTTTCCTTACAGAATTAAGCCTTGCTCAGCCAGTGCTCACATGCTCCTACAATCGCCCATTATGACATTAGACTCACTGCAACTTTTACCTCTGGTGTTGTCTCTCCCACTTAAGATTGTGAGCTCCCTTAGGGCAAGGGTTTGATCTTATCTCTGTGCTCCACATACCCTTCCCAGTGCCAGAAACATAGAAGATGTTCAGTAATTGCATGCTGAAAGAGTGGATGGTCAACATTAAGTCAGGTAATATATATGGAAAGTTATGCTTCAAGCCAGCCCTATCCCCAAGACAGATTTCTTCCTTTTCACAGTAACAGTCCATAGTGCTGCCCCTTAATGCACATGAATGTCTAGAATCATCAGGGATGGTTCCTAAGGAGCCTTCCACAGAGTAACCTTGGGTACCACATCCATTTGTTGTAGCTCTAGGACAGTGATCCCAGTAAGAAAAATCCACTGAATGCAGCTGGCCCAGGTGACTAGGCTGCTGCCCCTCAACCAATGGTTCATAAAAGCTGTGAGAATATAGATTTGGGAACCCAGATTCTTAAGTTAGGGTACTGGTTTGGCAACATATTAGCTCTGTGAGCTGGGCCAAGTCACTTAACTTCTCTGGGGCTCCTTTCTAAAATGTAGTATAGTGGTTAAAATTTATGCTTCGGCCGGGCAACAGTGGTGTACACCTATCATTCAAGCACTAGGGAGGCAGAGGCAGGTGAATCTCTGTGTGAGTTCGAGGCCAGCCTGCTCTACAGAATGAGTTTACAGTATAGCCAGGGCTACACAAAGGGAAACTCTGTCTTGCAAAAAAACAAAAACCTTGTGCTTGGCCATTGGATGCTGGGTTTTAACCCTGCGTTCTCGTTTGCGCTTTTTTTTTTTTTTTTTTTTTTTTTTTTTGTGATGTTGGACAAGTCACAAGTTAGTTTGTTCCTTGCCCCACCTCAGACACCTGATCCTCAGCCATAGCTCCTTATCTGAGACACTGAGCCAAATGGAGTTCTGAGGTCAGAATTTCAGTTATTTTATAAAGGGTTAATGTGGCAGCAGGGCCTGAGTGGGAGAAAGTCTACAAATAGCCTCCAGTTAGTTGTACCACCAAAGAGATTTGAACTGATCTTAGAGCTTTAGAGTGTGGGGCAGTGTGTTGGTGGACATGTTTGTGTGATCCATCTGCCTCAGAAAAAGCTGTTAATCATGGAGCTGGGCATGCTTCTTCCTTTTAAAGAGGTCTGCTCTGTGTGGCTATCACAGCCCAGAGAGAGCAACAGTGCAAACCACGGGTAGCAGGCAAAGAATAAATGGAGTAAAAGGCGGCAAGCTGCTCTCTGGGAGCCTCTGATCATTGCGGAGTATATCCAGTATACTTTGACGGTGGAACCAGGCCCAGGCCAGGGCTGTCTTAGGATAGGCCCCCCAAACTAAAGTTCATCCTCTCTCCACCAGGCAAAGAAAGCATATAATGGTGCCTACAAATATTAGCAAATGGAGGGCTGTCTTCTGGGGTGAGTGGGGTAGAGAGCCCTCATTAAATCAGAAGGTTGACATTTCAGCTAGGCTCCCTGGCCGGCAGGCTCTCAAGCAGGACCCACCTGTCTGCCATTGAGTTATAGGCCTGTGAATTCAAGGAGTGAATGCTCTTACCCACATAGCCATCTACCCAGAACCAAGAAATGACTCTTCTTCAGGAGGGTCTTTCAATAGGGAGTCTAAGCCAGTGGTATCTTAAGAAAGGCCCAGACAGGTAGCACTACCCATACCCAGTCTGTATAAAGAGGGAGTGGTGGAGAATAAAGCCTTTCTTACCATTGCTTTTAGGGGTTTCACAGCCTTCCAGCCTGAGCTTTGGGGTGTTTCTAATACTATAGACCAGGGGGTGCTCATATCACTTGAGAAACAAGGGCTGGTGCTGCCGTCGCATCCTCCCACCCTCAACATCCCCGGCTTAGAGCCTTTCTGCTGCCAGGCAAGCCCTATTGTCACACCTGGACTTAGGGTTTCAGCTACATGAACCTGAAGGCAGGCCTCTACAACACCAGCGAGAAGCTCTCCACCCACAGCTTGCTAAGGAAAGCAACATTCTAAATAGGCTTTCGGGTACACTAGTCCTACAAGATGCTGGTTGGAAGGTTCTTAGCCCTCAGAGTTTGGGCTCCCTGTATTCTTCTCTTGAAGCTTCACATCTGACTTGAGCATAGTAAAGGTTCTGGGAAGTCCCACAAGTAAAGTAATCAAGCTACTTTTTTTTTTTTCTTTCCTAATTTAAGTTTCCAGCTGGGTGGTGGTGGCGAATGCCCTTAGTCCCAGTGCTTGGGCCAGAGGCAGAAGTAGGTGGATCTCTGAGGTTGAGGCCAGCTTGGCCTATAGAGTTCCAAGACATCAAGGCTGCAGAGAGAAACCCTGTCTCAAAAAAGAACAACAAAAATCAAATATGCTGTGGGTCATTATGAAGAACAGTATTTAAGAGGGTGGGAAACAGAGTGTGGTGGTGCACACCTTTAATCCCAGCACTTGGGAGGCAGAAGCAGGTGGACCACTGCAGATTCAAGGCCAGCCTGGTTTACAGAGCAAGTTCCAGGACAGCCAGGACTGTTGTTTTAAACAACAACAAGAAAATTAGAAGATAGATTACGAATATAATACAGTAAGATCCAGATTGCTGCAGGCCAGCTTGGATGGCTTGGGCTTCCCCAAGGGATGGTTTTCTCTCTCTCTCTCTCTCTCTCTCTCTCTCTCTCTCTCTCTTTCTCCTTTCTCTCCTTGTTCTTTGTTTTCTGTGTGTAGCCCTAATTGTCCTGGAACTCACTCTGTAGATCAGGCTAGCCGCAAACTCAGAGATTCACCTGCTTCTGCCTCCTGAGTGTGCTGGGATTAAAGGCCACCGCCACCACCACCTGGTTGAAAGCTTTCTCTTAACCTGAAGTCTTCTCATCCTTCCAGCTGCTTTTTTTTTGGGGGGGAGGTCAATTTTCTGAGGGAAAGTTCCACTTCACCCCTTACTTCTTGGCCCCTTGTGTATTCATAATGACTATTTGGACTTTCTGTGTTTATGACTATGAAGTTGGGGAGGTCATACCTCAGATGAGATCATTCCTTAGACTCTGCCTGGGAGAATGGGCAGCTGTTAGCCAACTATATACAAAGTTCTTTCTTCCATGAGGACATTCCTCTTACTTTTGGAAGCCCATTTGGGTTTAAAGCAAGCAAACAAAACCATTTCAAACCCAAAGGAACAAGTCAGTTATGGCAGAATCTGATGGGTCATAAAGTAAATGAATCTTCCTATGATAGTTCAATCCACTTGGCTATGAAATTAATAGGCTTTGAGGCATGAGGAAGAAAGGCCAAAAGCATATTAAGTACACCCTGAGATGCCAGATGCCAGGCATGGTAGCTCATGTTTATGATCCCACCATTTTGGAAGCTGTAGCAGGAAAATTGCCAAGACTCAAGGCTAGAGTACATAGTGAGTCCCAGGGCAGCCTGGTCTAAGATGTGAGACCCTGTTTTTAAATTAAAAAAAAAAAAGAAAAGAAAAAAGAAATTAAAGCCACATGTATAACAGATATTTGTCCCCACTTCCTCCTCACATTCTGGTTTTCCTGTTTTTCTGGGTGGTGACCATGATGCATCAATGACCAGTAAAGGATATGTGGATGGAAGAGAAAGGAACTGTGTCAGCCATGCCCTGCAGCAAACCCTGCTCCATCTTCACAGAGGGTAGAAGAGGCTGGCCTTTCAGGTGGACAGGGGTGAAAGACAGGGGTAGCTGCTGTTGGCCTAAACCCCAAAGTTGCTGGGCAGCTGCTGGGGAGGTATGACTTTGGGAAGATGAGTCCTGAGGAGGGCTACCACTCCAATGGCTATCAGGCCCACGACCCAGAAGCTGGCTAAGAATCTGATTTTCCCAAATGTTGGAAGGCACCGCTGTCAAGGGACAAGTTGACAGGGAACCCTGATAAGGTTTGGGGGTTTCCCTTGGAGAGACAGGACACATAGGAGAATCTAGAGGCCTAGCCAGTGTTGAATTGCCCAAGGGAACCCCAGCTTGTGGCTGGACCCTCTTGGGCAGGTTGGCAAGAGCAAGTGGGTCCTTATAGGCACTTCTCCCTGGAAGTGAAGGCTGGCTTCTGTCCTCTGATGCTAGCCCCTGGCAGCTTCCATCCTGCTGGGTGAGGTGGCCCGGTGGATCCAGTAGGACCTGCTGTAATACAGAGTCCACAGCCTGGGATATGGCCCTGTTCAGTTCTTTCCTCAGAGTCTCCACCAAAGCCTGTGGTCCAGAAGGACGGACCATGGGCTCCTCTGACTGCTGTTGAACCTCAGCCGTTCTGGTCGTTACTGCTCCACAGAGGTCCTTGCTAGGACTCGGGTGGAGTTTACTCTCCAAGGTCCAGGGGCAGGCCGGGCAGCTGTTGCCCTGTTTTGCACTCGGGGGATTTCTTCGCTCAGTACCTCCTGGGCCCTGCACTGGTGCTCTGGGCTCAGCGGCCTGTAGGACATGATCCTGCAGATATCTTAGCTGTTGCTTCAGCAGAAGAAGCTGTTCTTTCACCCGGGTGCCCCCTTTCTTGGGTCCTGTATCCCAGACAGGGATAGATTTCAGGGGACCTTGGTGCATGGGAAGGCTCTGCTTTCTCTTCCGCTCCCGGGCCCTTTCTGCACAGCGTAAGCTCTCCCTGGCTCTGCCTGAACTAGGAGAGAGAGACATGCCTCGGACAATGGTCTCAACTCTGGCTCTCTTTGCCTGGATGTGCTCATCCCCAAAGCAGTCAGCATCAGTGAGGCTGGAGCTGGGCGGCTGACCACCGGGAAAGGAGGAGTCTCTGCCTGGCTCTGCTGTGGCTGGGCTTCTCCCCTGTTCCACACAGGTTTCTGCCAGGCAGGAGCAGGTCTGGGACAGAGTAGAAAGCAGGACAGGAGGCGGATCCATCTCCAGCCTCGCTGGGAACTTGTGCAGACCTCTGGGAAGAAGCCCAGGGCCTTTGAAAGCCCTGCCAATGAGCAGCCGGAGGTGTGCCAGACCGTGCAGAACGGTCCTCCTCACACTCAAATGAGTGAGAATCAGCTACCTCGGTGATTCAGGAAGACCAGCGTGGTGGAACCTCCAGGACGGACTCCTGAAATCAAAGACAAGAAGAAAACAATAGATACCAGTTGAAGCTACGCTTTCCTAACTTGTATATGCAAAGGAAATCACCTTGGGAGCTTGATAAAGTACAGATTTCAATTGAGCCGGTCTTTAACAGGGCAGAGATTCTGCATTTCCAACTAGCCCCCAGGCCATGCTCACTGGGGCCTCACTTTGAAAAGCTTCCAGAAGTGAACCTCTGGGGGGTGGGGGGAGAATGTCTGTGCAGGGAGACTAATAAATAATGGTAGCAGGTGCACACATTTAATGCCGGCACTCATGAGGGAGAGGCAGATAATCTCCATGAGCTAGAGCCCAGTCCGGTCTGCATGAGTTCCAGGACAGCCAGAACCAATGTAGCCAGACCCTGTGTCAAAACAATAGATGATGATGATGGAAATCCACTGAACAGCTTCCCCAGCATCCCTGGGCTCTGAGCGGTGAAGGGTTACTTCGCTAGATCATGCACAACTAGCAAGTGGCAGGTTGAATTCAAACTAAGATCCAGAATGGGTGAGAGCAATAGAGTCACCTGCTTACTTGTTTGACATAGCAAAGTCCCTTGGTCCATAGGACCCTAGGGGTGGGCCAGGAACTCCCCACCCCAGACTGGGTCTTATGTAGGCCAAGCTAGCTTTGAAAGGGTTATGCACCTGAGAGTGACCCTGAACTTCAGATCCCCCTGCATCTACCGCTCAGAGATTACATGTGAGATTACACCCCCAGGTTTGTTTGGGTTTTAAGATGGTGGAGCCCATGCTGGCCTTGGCCTCAAAATCCTGCTGCTTCAGGTGCCCGGGTATTGGGAGCCACCACATCCAAACCCAAGAATCTTATCTGAAACAAATATGAGAGCCATTGCTCTTTTACTGCAATGCTGCCCTGCCTCCTTGAAACCAGATGATGCATTTTTGGCTTAACTATCTATTTGGCAACTACTTATTGAACCCCTGCTAGGTTGGGCCTCCTGTGCAGTGGAAGGGCAGCAGGGATGAAGACTGGAAGTCTGCTCTCAGGGAACTGTTGATCTAGGAGGAGAAGCAGAAACCTTTTCTCATGTGAAGAACATAATTTGGGAGAAGAGATAAGAAGGGAGCTGTTTCAGAAAAAGCCACCCAGTAATGTTCTATTTGCCCAGAGCCTGCCCAGGAAGCTTCCAACAGATGAGGCAGAACAGATGAGAGCAGGAAGCCCTCAGAATTCACAAACCATCCCACATGGCGCCTCCTCTCGTCTCACACCAATCTTTTCCACCTTTGTAGACAAGTAAACTTGAGCTTTGTGATGCCAAGAGCAGCTCCTAGTAACTAAAGCCCCGAACCTTCAGGCCCTTCAGCCGCCTCCATGAAAGGCTGGCTTCTCTGTCCACGAAGCCAGTTCTCCATTTTCTACAGGAGGTAAAGGAATTTCCCTTCCGCAAACCTTCACCCTTGTTTGCCCCTCTTGAACCAAATACTGGCTGAAGGGGCTAAAGAGATGGTTCTGCAGCGAAGTGCTCAGCACACAAGCATGAGGCCCACCAGCACCTGCATAAAAACTAGTTACGGTGGTGTGTGCCTGTAATCCCACCAATGGGGAGGCAGGGACAGGAAGATTGGAGGGCCTGGCTGAATCAATGAACTCCAGGTTCAGTGAGAAACACACACACACACACACACACACACACTACTGACAGTGGAGAGCTGTCTTACTCCTGCCTGCTATTATCCTGAGGCTAGTTCTATTGCTGGTTTGTAGGCTTGCTAGTGACATCTGCCCTCGGCTTCAGCCTCCACCCCAGGCTTCTAGGTGACTGGCAGAGACACTCAAGTTCCCCATGCTCTCTACCAACCAGCAGAGGGCAGTGGAACCTGCAATGCTATCATGGGGGAATACCCTCCTAGAGAAACTTAGGATCTTGGGTCAGATTAACTAGGGGATTCTCTCAGGTGGACCTCTGTGAGTTCGAGGCAAGCCTGGTCTACAAAGCAAATCCAGGACAGCCAGGGCTGTTACACAGAGAAACCCTGTCTCCAAAAACAAATACAAAACAAGAAAAAACTAGGGGGTTCTCATTTTGAGTAAGACATTTATAAATTAGTAAAGAGCCACATATGTTAGTTCAAGCCTTAATCCCAGCACACAGGAGACAGAAGCCAGTGGATCTCTATGAGTTTCAGGCCATTCTGGTCTTTGTTCCATTTAGCCAGGGGCTACATAGTGAGACCTACCTCAAAAGTATTTTCAATTAAAACATTTTTTAAAAATGACATAGAAAATTAATACAGACTGAAAACCTCAATGTTGTTACATTTTTAATAATAATGGTTTGTCCTTGTTGAAGAGAGAAATGTTCCTTAACTTCCTGATAATTTGAATAAGGTTCCCGGGCTTTTGAGGAGAATCACAGCACAGATGGATGGGGAGAGAGGAGGAAGGAGGACGCCACAATGGGTTAGGTGGAGAAGAAACCATGTGGGCAAGGAGGAAGGACTCTGAGGATGGTGTGGATGAGAAAACACCAAGACAAATATATCATAAGAGTATAGATAGAAGGTAGCCCAGATATGGATGGTTAAGGCAGATGGCATCGGATGGGGGCTGAGAGGTGGATGGTGAGGTGATTGAGACAGTGTAGGTGAAATATCTTCCCAGCCCATGGTAAATAAGGCAATTACAAAATCTACCAGGTGTCAGTGTCTTATTATTTGTGATAATACTGCTGTGATAATCTTAGGGCTAATAACAAACATATAGCCCAACACTTTATTATTTACTGCAACAGGTGGAGAAGGGAGAAAGAGAGTTAAGAAACATAATAAAATAATTTGAGGGCTGGAGAGATGGCTCAGAGGTTAAGAGCTACTGGCTGTTCTTCCTAGAGGTCCTGAGTTCAATTCCCAGCAACCATATGGTGGCTTACAACCATCTATAATAAGATCTGATGCCCTCTTCTGGTGTGAAGGTGTACATGCAGACAGAACATTGTATACATAATAAATAAATCTTTTAAAAGATAGTTTGAAAAATTGACACCTACAGCAGTGTTTTTTTCTTTTTAAGCATTTATTTAATGGGGTGGGAGGGGAGGAGCATACAATGGCACTCCTATGAAACTCAGAGAACCACCTTCAGGAGTCAGTTCACTCCTTCTACCAAGTGGATCTTGGGGACTGAACTCAGATAATCAGGCTTGGAAGCAAGCACCTTACCTGCTCAGCCATCTCATTGGCCCAAGATCAGAGCATGTTTAATGAAGCAACAAGGAACCGAGGTACTTTGAGGCCAAAAACTGGAAATCTAGACTCCACATGGCCAGATGTCCAGAGATGCTTACAGAATGACAGTCACAGAAATAGAACAAATGTGTGTGCTGAGGCCGGCAGAGTGCCCAGGGCTTCTGTCCAGCTGAGCATGCCCAAAGCATTGATGCTCTTTGTTTGAAAATTAGCTAGTGATACTCCCATATGCAAGGACACGGGCAGCAGCGTAACAGTCACAGCCTCAGAAACATAGTCCCACGGCTCCCCTGAGACTCTGAAAGCACTTGTGTCACTTTACCCCTCAAATACAGGAATGCATTAGGAAGAAAATGCAAGCTTTATAACGCTGCCTCTCAGAAAACCACCATGACCGTTTTAGTGTGCATCGTTTTCTCCCAAACCACTTTTCCGGTATACGTGGAGCTTCACATAATTTCTCACAATGGTGCCATTTTGAAAATCAAAATTGTATTACAAATATAATTCTGTAGCTTCCCTTTTCCTCTTTTGTGCCAGTTAACATCAATTTCAACAGCACCATGGAGGATGTCAGTAATTATAGATATTATTTTTGGTAATGTATTAATATAATTTAAGGTTCTCTCTTAGTCAAGTGTAGTGGCCTGCTGTGTGTGGGTGCTGGAAACCAAACCCCGAACCCCAGGTCTTCATGAGAGGTAAGTGCTCTTAGTACTGAGTCATCTCTCCAACCCCTGTATTTACTTCTCATTTATTTATTTATTATGTGTATACCAGAAGAGGGCGCCAGATCTCATCATCGATGGTTGTGAGCCACCATGTGGTTGCTGGGAATTGAACTCAGGACCTCTGAAAGAGCAGCCAGTGCTCTTAACTGCTGAGCCATCTCTCCAGCCCCCTGTATTTACTTCTTTGGATACATTTCTAGAAGTAGTAATACTGTATCAAAGACTAAATATCTATTAAACTTTTATACCTTTACCCAACTGCCCCCCAGAAATGTGCCAGCTGACCAAGGGTGAACTGAGGAGTGGAAGGGAAACTCTGTACGGTGGTTGGAATTGGATAACGTGTTCCTGCATTTGTTACTTGTGTGTGTAAATGTACTTTTAATTAGCTCTCGATTTACCCTCCTAATATATCTCTAACAAAGAACCTGCAGCCCTTACTTTCTCAGCAATGCAACTGACCGTTGTCATTTGAATTTCCGTCATTAAGATAGATGAAATTTGTAAGGTGTGAAATCCTGAGTGAATATGTATGGTTGACATACATGTCAAGGATCCCAGTGCCCCGTGGGAGTGGCAAAACCTTCTCTGGGTAAGCCTCAGAGGGATGACACCTAGAGTTGCCTCTGGACTGCAAATATCGATGGTATGTGCAGAAAATTCTACTGTGGCTTTCTCCTTCTAGATGTTCCCAGACTGAATGCTGTTCCCTTAAGAGACTGCCCCTTCTGAGACTAGCGAAACCTGCCCCTTGGTCCGCTTGTACTGTAAGCCCCGCCTCCCTGTGTGTGATAACCCTCTCGTTGTTCAGCTGTGTGCAGCGACCCACCTCTCTGTTCAACTGTACTGAGTA